TATGAACGCAGACTATGGAGTCTCACTGACTGAGCCTAGTACTAGCACTAGTACTAGTACTAGCACTAGTACTAGTGTTAGTAGTTGTAGTAGTAGTAGTAGTAGTAGTAGTAGTAGTTAGTAGTGGTAGTCGTGGTAGTCGTGGTAGTAGTAGTGGTAAACTAGAGTACGATTTGCCGTGACCTGATGGGGCAAGCGAAGAAGAAACAAGCCAGAATGCCACAATGCCGGCCCAGACGCCAAGAAGCCAGAAAGCCACAAAGCCGGAGAAGCCAGAAAGCTAGAAGCCACAAAGTAAGGGGCCGAAAAGCCAAAACACAGCTCCGAAAGCAAGAAGCCAGAAGCCTTTGACTTGGCTCTTATTCTTTGAATTAATCCTTTGTTGAAAGAAAGATCTCGATTTGTTTAACATAGTATTTGCTGATCCTCCAAAACTCAATCATTTAAGAGAGAAGCCAAAGCTCTCTGTGCGGACAGGAGTTTGTTGTTAAGAAGTCGAGGCTGCTGCAATGGCATCCAGTGCCGACTGCGCTGCTGAGGAATCACCTTGCGAGCTTTGCTTGGCAAGCAGGTACAAGCTGATTTGCACAGGCATGGCACGGAAACGGACCCACGGGGTGTCCTCAGATCGAAAACCGAAATCTGTTGAATTTGGACATTCATGGCCCGAGGTGGGCATTGCCTTTTCATGAAGCCGGCCCACATTTGGAATGTCCTCTCGCGGGTCCCCGATCTTGTGACAGATGTCGATCTCTCCGAAGCGTTCCAACCTGGAGCACAGCGTCTCCACTGTTCCAGTTATCCAAGTAACATGTCTGTGACTTCCGCAGCTTCTGGCTGGGTCTTCAAGGACAGCCGAGTCGTGCCGGAGTGGACACCATCCTCACGACAGTAGCCAAGCGACTTCAAACCTTGTACCTAGAATTCAGTTTGGGTATTGGCAGCACTGGGCACGCAGCTATGATTTCGATTGTGTCCCGCGCGGCCTTTGGAGCGGGGGTGTCTGGTGAAGAAGTAACAGCGGATAGGCTGTGGTCATACGTGCCCTCTCTGCATGTACATGTAAGGATTCCACCATCTCGGAGACATTCCCGGCAGCCCTGAGTCCGAACATGTACCAAACAATGCCGCAAAGATGCATCGCGAGGCGAACAGCAATCAAAGAGTCGCTTGCCGTGAGGTCCAGACGAGGTTTCCGGCAGTCACACGGCTTTCGGACTTGGATTAAACCTCTACGCTCGAATATCACGGCATCGGAAGAAGGTGAGGTACGGTGCCAATGCGTGAAGTCAGGGCAAGTGTTCCAGTCCGGATCCCCGGCTCCGAAGTGCTCCACCGCTCAAACGAAAGGAAACTGCAACGAAATTCACGAAGAAGCCGATGCGCCAATCCCCTTGCGATCCACGAGTCTACAAACTTTCTGATGACTAGGCTTGCTGCATGATACCGGCACGAAAGGCAGCCAGGCCGGAAGGCTCTGAGAAGATGTGGCATTTTGGAGTTTTGCCACCCGCTTACTGAACAGCAGAGTCCGGAAAAAACACCTTGCAATTGATGCTTCCACATTTTGCAAGAGCGAAACACATAACAGCCCAGAAGATGCCGAGGGGACTGCTTAAGCAAAATCCTGGCAACAAGCTCCTCAGCTGTCTTGGTTCTCGATGGATTCGAGAAACGAGTCCGGCCATTAGGCCTAGACATAATTTCAAGCTCCTTCCAGCCTGTCCTGGACACAACTCTACAGAATGTACCAGCATGTACCACCTGCAAGTGTGATGCTAGAAGAAGCTGACCCAGCCATAATAGTCACCTTACAGCGGGGAACCAGCAGTGTCATGTGAGGTCATTTTCAATTGAAGCAACCTCTCGACTGAGAGTTGTTTCACACAGTTCGGCGGGTGACAGAATAAAGCCTGCCGCGGTAGCCATAGGCTGTTCGACAGGAGGCAGCAGTCAGCTTGACTGTCGGTGTGGCGGAAGCGCTTCCACTCGTTCCATGAAAAAACAGCTATCGCCGAAACTTCATCTTCGCTTCCAAGGCAGTGCACGTAGCCTCAGACTGACAATCTAAACTACTCGACATCCGAAACTAAACTAATTTTTGAGGGCCCAGCGCAAGTGCGAAGCAAAGCTGGGAAACAAACTTCGCAGCCAGCAGCGGCCTGAGAAAGGGACGGGGGAGCAAAGATGTACCGAGGCCTAGAAGCCGACGGTTTGCCAGGCCAGGAATCTGAAATCAACATCAACAAGCAGACCTTCAAAACCATGTCATCTGCAGGCTTGCAACAAGCTATTCACGAATTCCAGTTTGCAAGGTCGTGTTCCGTGCAAAACCCCAGATTGCAGGGTCACATTTTCAATGACGTTCCAGAGACCTATACATTTTCGGCGCCCCGTCTCGCGGCAAGCTAACCGTTTGCCAGTCGTGTAGGTGCGGACCGGACCGCAAGAAGCTACACGGGACTTCCCTTCTCGGAAAGCTGTCGGGGCATTCCTATCTGCAGAGTCTTGTTCTGCGGTTTCCGGAGTCGCACAGGAGCTCCTCTGGCCGCGGGGGACTCACACTGTAAATACCAGACAAGCTGTGATCATTCTGTCTTGTTTTGGGCCAGTGGGAGAGCACAGTGCCCTGAATTCAACAGTTAACATCCCGCCAGCGTTGCTGCCATAAAGATCGACTCTGAGAAGTAACATCCCATGGCGAAACCATCCGCAATGCCAGGAAGGCGGCTGCAATGCTTTAAGCTGAGAAGCACCATCCCGTTCAGAATCAAATCCACATCTTTCCAACCCTCGTTTGCATCACGTTGTTGAAACTCGCACTCGGACAATCCAGGCAAGGTCTGAAGCCAAACTGGACACAGAAACAAGTGGCATTCATTTCAACTCCACCGTATCACTGCTGACTTCCTCAGGACTTTGACCGTGTCATTCGTCCTACTGGTACCTTGCCCTTGCGCTTCGTGTCTCCTGCAAAGTTCATCCAGGCGCGCCTTTTGCAAAGCTTCTGCCGGAAGGGCAGCACGAAGTTCCCGCCAGTGCACACAATACTGGAGAGAGGATGTCCAAAACAAACACTGTTTGTAGGCATAAGTTTTAAACATAGCAGCACGGCGAACTCTGTTCACTTTCTTGTCCCGTGTCTTTATAGGACCGTAGTTCGACTCGAAATGGCAATGGCAGAAGCTAAAGCATTGCTGCTCATGTTTGATGATTGAGTTATTTCCTGTACTGCTTCCATTCGGCTTCAGCGGCTGGCGAAACTTAAACCACTGTATATTGTATACTGCTGAAGCCCACGCTGCAAGCAATGTCAACAATGATAACGACAAGAAAGAGCTGCAGCAGCACAGTTCCAATTGCCCTTTTCTGCATGTGGTTTCATGACGTCTTGAATGCGACGTAAGATTTCGTTGATTGCGCTTTGCATGGTGATGTAACATATCAAACATATAATGTGTTTCCTGGTGCGCATCCAGACCTGGCCTGGTTTTGGCCGCTCGCCGCAGGTGTTTCAGCATTATCCGCTTCAGCAACCTCTGAGAAGACCTTGACAGAATTTCAGAAATGTGCTGTTGAGGACGTGACATCAGGCATGCTCAGACATGCCTGCGCCGGCAAGAGCTAGTCCCACCGGAGAGAATGACCTGACACGGCTCAGGATTACGGGTTCACGTGAGCTCCAGGTCCTCGATTGACAGCCAGTGTCTGAAAGTTTGGGGTAGATGGGGTAGTAATGAGAACTCTGCTATCTCTGCATGCGTTACATGCCTCTACGCTCGCATCTCTTGCACCGTTGGAGCGAACAGCTTGCACGAATGCTGAGTTGCACGAGCCGCGGACTTTTGCTGCAACATGTCTGAGCGGAGCTGTGGCCGGTGCCGTCAAGTCCTCTGAGCATGTCCCCTTTAAAGAGCGGCTGTTGCAGCACTCAGTTCGCGCACCAACTCTGCGTGGCAATGTCCTACACAATCCACCACAAGGAGTGAGTAGCGGCAGGCATGTCCTCGATGAGGATGACACTATCCAGCGCTGCCTGTCTACAGTCCACTTCTACGGAATATGACAGCTGAAAAGAGATGAACTTGCATATCTGACATCAACACTGGCAAATCTAAGTCGTGGCTGGATGTACCAACTCTGCGCACTGTGTAGTCGTGAATTGCCGGCTATTGAAGGCGAGCGGGGGTCGAGCAATGATGCAAAGACAACACCGCTTAACGTCGCACGGGTACACGGTACATGCTGCAAGCACCCTGTTGTCGGCTTCTGTGCCCGTTTGAAGTACAAGACTTCTTGTGCTGAGCCTCGCACGAGGACTCGTCGCAGGGCCTGTCCATGGGGAACTGTAAGGAGGACCTGAAAGCTGATCTGAGCATCTTCTTTCTGCGAGTACCAGCACTGTCTTCCTCATCTTGCTCTGCAAGCCAGGCTCTCAGCCTCCAGGACAGTCTTCGAGACCTTGCGGCCATGCATTCGGCGGCCTGGCCTTGCATGACCCTTGCAATTTCTGAAAATGCAAGCAGCCGGCCGTGCCGGTGGGGTCTTGCTCCTTAGAAGACCTGCTGGAAGCGCAGCGCTCTTCAAGCTCGACTGCAAAGTGACCACGCCGGTACAAGCCTCTTGCCGTAAATGAGCCGGCCTTTCAATAGAGACCACAGCCTGACTGGCATCCACAAAGATGATGGGCGTTCCCGGCAAAGGCCTCTAAAAACTGCATTTCCCTCAAACCCTGTTCAAGTTGGTGTCTGTGCTATGTTGAGATCTTCTTGTTTGTTGAAATATTCTTGTTGGTTGAATCGCGGTGTCTCGCATGTCCCAGGGAAGCCAGTGGTCACACTCAAACGTTCATGGCATTCGTTAAAGGCATGCACTTGGCCCCAGAGCAAGCATGAGCACCTACCAATAGAACATGACCGCGCGGGAGAGAAGGAGGAAGGGATACATTGCGTGACGTCAGTCATAGGCTCTCGACCTGCACTTGCTCTTGGTTGCAGCGCCGAGGTGGCATTCAGGTTTCACTCAGATATTCGCAAAGCCATCATGGCATACTGGAAAGCTCGCTTTCGTGCCTCAGCCGCAGTCCGGACTCCTCGCGATGCGGGGTTGAAAATGGGGACGTGGCGCAAGTTTGTGGCAAGTCACTTTGCAGCAACAGTGAACCTTGCCGTCCTGGCGCTCCACGAGCGTTTCTTCCAGGAGCTTCCTGCCAGTGGCGGTGCGGGGCATCCTGGGCGCAGGCACGATGGGAACGGGCAGACTCAGGCCTTTTAGGCTGCCACATTGAGGTGCAGGCAGCAGCCTCCGCAAAGCAAAGGGCGATGATGTTGTGTACCTGCTGTGTTCAACATAACCCTGGGACATGACAGTATCAAAACAGGAAACCAGACAGCACCGACTCTCATGAAACATCGCAGCTGTCGCATGTTGAAGTCCGGATCGGCAGCGAAAGCTATTCCTTCCAGCCTTCTCTCTTGACAACCACATGTCACTGTCATGCAGGCCGAACGCTTTCCATTGCTATCGAGTTGCGTCACGAAGGAACGCATCACAAGCACATAGTAGGACCTATGCATAAAGAGGCAAGAAAGGCTGCCGGGCGGAGTAAGTGCTCAGGTCTTCACGGCAGAGTGAAGTAGTAGCCTGCTGGACTGAAGCGAGGCTTGTTCTTGATAGCTCGGGCTTGAACTTGGAATCCGACGGAAGGCCAAGTTGCTCAGCTCCTCATACAGCCTCAGCTAACCGAAGCACTGTCAGCCTCAGCTTTCGCTTGGACCAAGGAATGAGCTGTCCAAAGGCACGTCGGCGGTCCACGCCCATGCCATCCTCAAGTCTTCCCGTCCGACTTTTTGCGGGAGTCACCAGGCTAAACACCAGGCCTGCACCAATCGTTTTGCATCTCCCTGCCCTCCCTGCAAAGCCTCCTCCAGTGCTGCGGCAAAGGGCCTGGCAGCGCCGGCCGCGGATGCGCGAAGCTCTTTGTTTTGACTTCCGACATCCAGTGGGGGAAGCGAGGAAGGAATACTGCTCTTCGCCCGGTCGCTTCAAATCCTCGTCATCTTCTCGCTCGGAACTGAGAATTCCCATTCCTCGAAAGCACGGCCTCAAACAGCACACTTAAGAAGCGAAGAAAACACGTGACAAAGATGACAAAGATGAGGTCTCGGCACCAGTGCTTGGTAATCTTCCGCCAAAAGGCTGAGTATTGCGGAAGCCATGCTCTCCTGCACTCTGGTACGTGGACCCCCGTGGCTGGACGTACCCAAGGCCTGATGAACCGCTGTCATCTGTGCCACCAAGCCGAAGTCGATCAAGCCCAGACGCCCGTCGTCTACAAGCATCCTGGGAATATCTCGAAAACTCAGACCCAGACTGTCGCCGAATCCCACAAAAGTGAACTCAACGTATTTGCCGAGACGCATGTTGCCCTCATGTGGGTCACAATGCACGAAACCGGCATCCATTAATTGCCTCTCGAGTTGGGATCAAGCGTTTGGCTTGCTTATGCTTGCATGTGATTGCATGGTCTCCAGCTCCAAACAGGCAAGGATGGCAATGACAGGCACGGCCTCAGCGGCACTCAGAAATTTGCAATCTAGACACGTCGGTCACCTAACGTCGCTGCGAGCTCGCACAGGCAGGAACCCTGCAAGGTTCACCAGGCGCAGCTTCTCTTGTGCACTCAAGTCTCGAGGCTTGCGACCATGCAACCATGTGGTTGTCAGCACCTCGCGCACATCTGCCACATGACATCTACCACTGCTCAGATCCTGTCTCTCTCAAGGCGGCTGCCCGAGTACTTGTCCGGGACCAAACAACCTGCACCCTAAAAGTAGTGACTTGTCAGGGTCTGCACTTCCATTTGATGCATGCCGGGGAAGGCTGCCTGCCTCAGGCACGACCACGTCAGGACATTTTTCGCCATAAAGACTCTGAAATAGTTCACTATGCCTGGCCTGGCAGACGGTGGGAACTATGCCTTACCGCTTACAAGCACCGGTGTGGTGCCTCTTGCACAAAATCAAGCTCGGCAAAAAGCCCATCTCCGACCTCGTCCAAGACCGACCTTGGGATGCACGGCGACGTCACAGACACCATCACTCAGAGCTTTATCCCTCTTTTTGCCGAACTCAAGCACCTCTGTGTCAAAGCTTGGGTGCAGGTTCTGCCTAGTCTGGGGGGCATACTGAGCGATCTCAGAACTCCTCGTAGCACCGAGTACTGCCTTAGCACCAAGGTGCTCGGAGCTCGGACGGGTCAGTTGACATGATTGGCATGACTGCAAGAGCTTCAGCTTTCCTGTCACGAGTGCTCTCCATGTCTTGCGGATATCACCGGGGTTGCGCACTTGGGGTCTATAGCAGTACCAACCAAGGCTTGGGGTGGCCTTGAATTGCGAAGTCAGAAAAAGAATAACATCCGAATGCTGGAAAACTAAGCTGCAATTACGACTTTGACAATACGGTGACATGCCGCAGAATCCATGAGACATGTCAACATGACAAGTCCTGAAGGAAACACTGAAGTCTACTGTTCTCGTTACCGAATGTCCGATACTTCTCGTGGTTTCTGCCCTATTGCCTGTGCTTCTGTACTGGGCTACAAAATATTTGTTTGGGCATGGCAACAACTGTTGCGAACCTAGGCTGGCTCCTTGCATACCTTTCGAGGTGTTCTGGGACCGCCTGATGCAGGCACAACGAAGGCACACAATCGCACATCTTGTTTTAAATCCTAGACCCTAGGCCCTCGGACAGGAACTTGCGATGGGCGCATCTTTTCGCCTTTGAAGTGCACGGTGGGTCAAACAACATTGGCTTGCGGACAATGGGCTGTCCTGGCCTCTGTGTTGAAATTCTCTCAACTCGAGAAATAAACGCAAACCATGCGACAGGAACTACTACTGACTACGGAATGTGAGAAGAAGGAAGGAGCAGATGAGTAGTTGTCAAGCTCTGCTATCGCGGGCATAGTGTTGGACGAGAAACTCATGACCGCGTCCCAACTCGGTAGTTCAATAGGCAAGTGTTCGGACCCAAGCATATATTATCTTTGTCCTCTTCATTCTCCTGCTGGAGAAAATAGCCGTGAGATTAAGTCAGATTAACACCGCGCATGTTCTGATTTGCGTCGAAAGCTGTAGTGCTAACATCATGTCCAGCTTGTTCCGCTTCATCGCTTGATGACAGGGAGTGTCACGGTCATAGTCCGGCGAAGGCGGGACTTGATCCATGGGGTTGCTTCGATGCAATTCGTCATACGAGAGGAGGGTAGCTCACATGCCGAGTGGGGGGGAAGGGTGTTGGAAATTGGCGGTCTTTTCCCAGCGAACTGCGAAGCGGGATATGTACAAGGTAGGCTCAAAACCACGGCTTGAACGAAACATACAGTGATTCACACTCAACCTGTTCTCTTGTCTGGAGCACGGGAAATACTGTACAAGCTATACACCTTGTACTACTCAGCCACAAAAACGGTATCGTATGATACTCCAGAGCGGTAGTATCATCCCGCGAGTGGCGCCTGCAGCCTATTCAACTGATGCGATCCATAATGCGACGTATGGTCGTCTTATTCATTGTCTGCGCGGCTACAGCTTCGCCTGGCTCTGCTAACCTTGCACATGCCAGATTCGATCAAACGAACGATAAAATATGGTTTCATTGATTTCGTGAAGCAATCCGCCGCTTGCATGGTCGTATCGATCCAGTCCACGCGGTCTCCCCCACCGGGGTAGACCTCACAAGTGCATTCGCCGTCTTCTGTGAAGATAGACCGGCGTAGAGAGGTCAACAGTTTTTTGCTCAACTCGATCTGCAGTCGTTTATCTTGAACCCGTGCGGGCGCGTCGGAATTCAGATGGTCAGCCGAGCTCCTGCAATCGGTCAAAGAGATGTGAGGCACTTTGCTTCTAGCGGGTCTCCCATTCGGTCCCTTGGGATCCGAATCCGCAAATCTCGGCTAGGACAGCACGAACCCTGTCGCCGGCCTCCTGCGCATTCTGTAGTGCGTAGGTTTCACCCTGAAGCGTTGCACGGCATACCCTTTTGATGGTAGTATAACTGGTAGTACTCGAGAAAGACACAACCATCACATCGTATGCGTCACATGACGGCACAACTGCGATGTAGGCGCGAGAAAATGGATCCTTCCCTGTTGGGATCCATTATTAGATTCCCAGGCGGAGCTTGCATCGGATGCGGTCAGCACCCCTAACCTCGTCAAAGTCGAAAAGCCCATTCCGATACCTTAGCTCATACATTCCCATCCCTTGCCTCTGCAACGCCTACTTCTTCAGCATTGCAGGAAAAATGCCGGAAAAACATGGAAGCTAAGAAAAGCTCAGGAAAGCTCAGAAAAGACAAGAAAGGCTAGAAAAAGCAAAATATTTCCCACAATTATGCTGTGACTGGAACGGTGGTCCTAGACAGGCTGAGGGCTTCAAGTCTAGAGTTTTAGGTTGAAAAGGAATGTTTACGGAAATTCCACGAAACGCTAAAGAATTCCAACAAAAAGCTAAAAAAAACTAGAGAAAGCTAAACAAAACTAAAAAAGCTAAACTTTTCTCAGCGTTCGGCCGGGCCCTGCCAAACATAATTTAACAAAATTCCACGAAAGGCTAAAGAATTCTTTTCTCGCTGGATTATCAGCGAAGGATTTCTTCAGCTTTTTGGGCTTTCATTGAAGGAATTCTCCAGGATTTATCTAGCTTTTAATTTTTTAGCTCCTTCAATGGTGCTCCAGTTGTGAAGACGCATGCTTCAGATAGGTAAGTCATGCGACTTTAAGATTAGCTTAAGGATTTTGCCTTTAAGTGCCAATTCTAACACCTTCCTCGCGTAGGCTATCGTTGCACCCTTTATCGAGCTCTGAAACCTCGATACTCGGTACAAAATATCTGGCCGGGCTTGCCTAGATATCCACGACCCGCTACTACTCCGGAACGTAGCTGTCGTTACTCCCCTCGGTCTGTCAGATCCGACTGCTTCCGGCTCGCCTTAACGTCTATGTACGCTATCTTAGTGGTGTTGTCAGCGACGTGTATGAGTACGTCGTGGCCGCTTTTGTCGAAGTGCTTGCCGCAAAATCTGAGTCGGCCTTGTTCTCGTCGTCCCACTTCGAACTTCGTAAGTAGGTCATCGATAATCTTGCCGCCTCCTTTGATGGATGCCCAGGAAAAGTCATCCACGTGTCAGTGTGTAGTCAGCACACACACACACACACCACACCAC